ACCTTAAAACCTTTTTGGGCTTTTTTTGTAACTGGGAACACATACTCATTGGTCACTGTATTAAGTACAACCTGCACATCTTTCTGAGGCAATAAAAGAGCTGCAAAAAAAGTCTGTCTTTACCCAAGATAGCCCACCTTCTGCCAGGACTGACCAACTCTCATGACTTGCTTTTGTGGCTGTAGTTAGGCTGTATGAGCGGGTCACAAAGAGGGATAAGCTTCCCTGACTGGATTATTTGCATTCCGATTCTCTCCAAGGATAATGTTTTACGATGATCGGATTTTCTTTTCCACTTTCATGAATTAAAATGAAACCTAAATATTTCAGATTGTGTGAATTGCCCAGGTGTGTCTTCCGTGTAGAGAACGACAGCTGACTCTCTCTGTGGGAAAGCATAATGACCACACTTTATGCCTCTGCAGGCAGGAGAAGGGATGTTGGAACAAATCCCCTGATGCACCGCTCAAATTTTGTTTTTTTTTTCCCATGAATCCTTCTCACTTTCTGTATGAAAATGCAGCTTTGGCAGAGAGAGCTCATTCCCTTCCAGTCTTTGAACAGCTTGTGCGCCCTGGGCCTGTCCCAGACGCTTCATTTAAATTTATTTATTTATTTATTTGTCTCTCCCCCTCGCCTGCCTCTCTTTACACTGGCGATGAGCAGGCTGTTGCCTCTGAGCAAACTCCGACAAAGAAATCCCGCGAGGGAAGTGGGCCAGGAAGGCGCAAAACAGAAAGGAGGCTATATGTGTGCAATCTCAAAGATGCATCAGATTAGTCATGACTTTGTATATGGTCCAACACTGTACTCACAAAAAGACCTATTCATTTTGAGGAATTATCATTTGGATCAGTGTAGCAAGACAGCAGATGCTCAAGCATGTGTGCAAGAAAAAAAATGTGCTGTGACTCAGGAAAGGACAGCCATTGCATTAATTTCTCTGCAGTGCGGTGTATTGATGGGGAAAGTCCTACTGGGGATAAATACGTGGGATAAGTGGTTACAAAACAGTCAAATGGTAATGGCACTGATAGCCTCCCCCTCAGCATCCCAAAATTCATGTGTTGAAACTTGATTTTCCAAAACAAAATTGTGCCTGATGCAGCATTATGCAAATATGTTTCAGTGGGTCGCTATGTCATTTCAAACTATAAATAAAGCTAATAAAAGTGTGTCAGCTTACCACTGAGCATACAGCGGCACATCCATTTGGGCTGCAGAGTATCAAATGTTGTTATCGCTGTTTTTCATGCAAATACCAATATTTACATATCACAAATCTAAAAGACTGCCCGTCCTCTATGTATTTAAGGTAAATATTTCTTTGGGCACGCAGAGGCAACATAATGAGCAAATATTTACATGCTCGCTGGCCGCAAAGGGCGGGTCAAGCAATTTTTTAGTGGGGTGGCCATGGTTAGCCATAAGATAACTGCACATTGGGGATGCCTTGGCTCGACAGCGTACATGGTCGAGTGGTCATTGTTTAGCACACCATCCAAAGTCAGGATTTCATGAAATAAAATGCAAACTTGCCCAACGCGCTCATAACAAAAGTAGGAACAAAAATAAGTAAAGAGCAATATTTTTCTGAGCTTAATGTAATAGATAATGCCATTCTCTTTGCCATTTCTTTGCTTTTGCTTACTCTCTCACATGTCTAGCATGCACTGGTTTGCTAGCTAATAGCAATCAGTGTGATCGCTGTCACCAACGGCCGACATCGTTTTGCATTTTACCGATCGATGGCTTGTTCATTAAAATCATATCGAAGAAGCACAATGACACATCAATCTCTTTAATTGTTACATAATTATTCTAAACATTGCTTTTTACCTAGATTTGTTCCTGCTTGTATTGTGGGCATTTTGGGCAAGGTCCACAATCAAATACAATTACTGGATAACAGTCCACACATCACAATAAGTGCAGTGCATAATACTGCTTTCTGAAGCAAACGATCATAACAATAAACACTTTTTCTAATATATTGCTCTCTCTCTGGTAATGGCAATCCTGAAAAAGGAATATGTTATTAAATGCAGAATTATAAATACAGCTGTTCTATTGCCCCCACTAGCAACTCGCTAGCAGACCCACAACTGGCTTTTGTCAATTATGAAAGGCAGAGACACAATTGAAATTAACATTTTCAATTATTGTAAGCATTACAACGTCAGAGTGGTTAAATTATTTTTACATTTGTATGTAAGTTCTCAATCAAGTACAGTTCTCAAAGAGTTTGTCAGTAAAATCCGTCCGTGACTTTGGTGATTGGAACTCGTCAATTGTCCTTCAGCAAGGACAATCGTAAATTGGAATACTACAACAGCAGGTACACGCAGAAAGTTTATGTAAAGGTATATGCGAGTGTCACATTGGGAGCTATTTCCCACATAACAGACGGCTCGTGCCTGATTTAATGCGCACACTTATCTGCCTCAATAGGGGGCCTGCGGCAGCGCGAAGTCCGGCAGCTTCCCTCGATTCCTGTGACTCATCTGTACTACTGGATTATTTCAATTAGGCCAAGACAAAAAAACTGAAAAAAAAAAGTTTTGTGCTGAGGTTATCCCTGATAAAAATGGACAAAATTAGGCTCACTATTGTTATGAAGGTTATTAGAGCTTTATCTCCCGCTGTGCTGAAAAACAAAGTTCAACCAGTAGGATGTATGGAGCTGGTGAAGTGGAAAATATGTTTAAAAGTGGGTGTAGAAAACATCCTTGATGGGAACAGAATCGTCATTTTGGCTCAGCATCCTTCGTATTGGAACAATTACACAGGCACATATTAACACACCTTCAGTATAGTGAGAACACCAAATTAATGTTGGAAAGTATGAATGTGGCTTGCAATGACACTCATGCATAACAAATGAAGTTAAAAGTCAGCGAGGGGATTTGGTGAATCACAGAGACACCAATATTCAAATGAATGTTAACAAGCACAATCTAATTTGTTCGATAATTGCCTTCTAAGCAGAGGCAATTGCAGAATGCACTCGGGTGCACGGCACAATGATGCAAGGTTGTTCTTCTACTACTACGAGGACTAGTGGACAAAATGGAAGAAGTGATTTGGGGGTTGTTCTCTTTTTTTTTTTTTTGGTCAAAGAAGAGGATTAACCGGGCAACATCATTGGCGGTGTCTTCAAAATAGCTTCACACTTTCAACTTTAAGCTCTGGTGCACCTTCAAAAGCCACACTGCAGGCTTACTGCTGTGACCCATTCAGCTGTTCCCTAGCGATTGGTCAAATTTACAGTCTTGCTCAGTGAATCTCAAGGAGAAAACCATCAAGCTCCATGTTGTTCCTTTTGGTTTACCATTTGTTTGTGAGCAGGGCTACTTTCTCTCGAAATTATTTACCGTAATCTATCTGGCAATTGTATTATTTGCAGATCTAAACTTGCTCTGTACGTGTACCCCCTTTTTCAATGGTTTCTGCATAATCTAGCTAACAAACCAAAATAGTAAAGTAATCCACACTCCACTTCTCTGTCTTCTAGCCTTGTTGTGTCTTTTCTGTGAAGCACTTTGTGGTGCTTTTTGAGTCTCAAAGTTAGTATAGGTTTCCAGTCATAACATGACATACCAAAGACATAAAATATAAATATATATACCACATAGTAAATACGACTCCCAGGTTGCTAAAGTAGCCCCCTCGCCATTGTGTGCCACTTACTGTGTGTCCCCTACTGTGTTAAATTAGATTTTTGCGAATAGGTACGTATGCAGATAGAGTGTATGTAATGATGATGACGATTGTTTTCCTTCTTCCACTACAACAACAGCAAAAAGAACTTGAACTGCATCTACCATCTAGATCCTCAATACAAAAGAGTACAAAAAAACAAAACAAAAAGGATTCCGGTTTGGAAGTTGCATTCCAAAACAGTGTTGTGCCTCACAGCCATACCCCAGTTGAAATTTAAAATGATGTGGTTTCGCTGGGACGGTCCATTACTTTACTCTTGCAAGAAGCATTGGTAGTGTAGTGATTCACATAGTTTACTAGTGGTGCAGGTGCAGCAGATCAATACTTGCTTAATTCCCAAATTACAATCACTTTGGAATTACCAGAAGCCAATTGAGGGTCAAGTCTGATTTACTGCTCACTTCAGATTGACCAAGTAAGCAATATTAAATTGATTGATGGCTTGATGAACCCACAATTAATTGTCCATGAAATGATCTGAATTAGTCTTCATTTGTTTTGGTTATTGTTGAAACAATTATGTGATGGATGGTGTGGTGGTTCACTGATCTGACTTCGACGCAGGTAGCATGGGTTCATTTCCACTGCTTTAAATTTGAATGTGAGTGTGATAAACCAGTAATGGGTCCAGGGTGTATCCGGCCTGTTTGCCTTAAGTTAGATGCGATAAACGCAAAACCCTGAAGAGGAAAAACTATTTAAAAATGGATATATGAAAAAAGACAGAGAGAAAAAAAAAATCCCAAAATGGTATTGTCCAAAATTTGGTCTTGTACAATGCAGATAAATATTCAGGGTGTTGAGCCCAACTCCTGGTACATCAGTTCATTTCTCAAAACCTTTATCCACATACTGCAGCTTTTATTTTTGGGAGGGGGTGGGGGGGGGGGGCTGTAAATGCTGACCATGGCGCAATATAATCAAGTCAGCGGGAGGGCGAAAACAATATTCTAAGTTGGGCATTAAGCTAAGAGGATTTTGATTGAAAGAAACAGCCTCCCTCTAAAATACTGTGAAAGTAAAGCTTCAATGAAGTACCAAATGACCGGGAAACTACACTGACGTTTCCCTTAATGCAATTGAGACGAGGTGTCCCTTCCCCTCCTCTTTTCACCACACCTCATGATTGAACCTTTTAATACCACACAGCCACGGAAAACTTGGTGTCCTTTTAAACCTGGAGTCATTGTTGCAATTTTATTTTCAAGGTAATTAAACAACGAGAGTGTGGCTTTCTCAGTAATAAAGCGCCTGCGGTGACTCTGGCGAAAGCTTACCTGTTCTAATATGGTGTTGATCCTGTCCACCTCACAATCAATCACAAAGCGCTTTTCCTGCCTCCTGTCCATCTCCTCAATGATGCGTTTGAACTCCGCCGCATCCGTGGTGCTGCTGACAGAGCGAGCGGTCACCTGCCAGTTGTTGGCCACCGCCGCCTCCATGATGGCCTGCAGTATGGAGAAGCCTGGAGAGAGAGGGCCAGACAGCCGTGACCCTGAGGATTAGACAGTGAAAAGGCTGGCACACCGTAAGAGTTTGCCAGGAGTTCGAAGGCTGCTAATTTATTCTTGAGAGCTTTGGGCTTGAATCGAGAGGTCAAAGGCCATCTCATTACAATCTAAAATAGCATTCAGCAAGTCCCACTAGAATATTGTATGGAGCCTTGGCTTCGTGCAGCACTGTGTATGTGTGTGCGTGTGTGCGTGTTTGTGTGTGTGTGTGTGTGTGTGTGTGTGTGTGTGTGTGTGTGTGTGTGTGTGTGCTGCGCTGATCCACATTTGCATATTGAAAAGGCAATATAATGAAAAGAGTGGAGTCATATCTCCATATTATTAAAAGATCAGCGGGTGATGTTATTGCGCTTGGCAATCAATTGAATTATGGCATTTAGATCAGCGACATGCTAACGTTGACGCCTCCTGCTTAGCGTCTCCTTGGAGGATTGTTGCGGCTCATATTGGGACAACGAAAGATTTATTGAAGACAGATCTTTGCAGAGAAAAATGTGAAATAGTAATGTTTAACAGATTATTCGGAAACACGATGGTCAAATCACAGACTTACATGGTTGTTGTTTCTTTGTGCAATGACAGACGACATATGAATGGCCCAACTGTGCGACAGTCTGCGATATACTGTACAGTAGTAGGATGAATATGACGAAATTAATGAAACTCAAGCACAGTGCTCAGCTCTCATTAAGTCAGACAATGGAAATCTATGGAAAGATGGTTTCTGTTAATGTTTCACCATTTATCATCACACTTGCATCGAAGGGTAAAGAAATACAATGTATATCACAAAAAAATCTACAAAAAAATCTATCTATCTATCTATGGGTATATCTCACAGATATCAGTTTTGCGTTCTAGACAAAAATACATTGCTTGGACAAAAATCCGAATTTGGGGATTTCTCTAAAAATAATCTCTTTTGAAGGTCTCTATTTTCATTTCCCAGGAACCCAAAAGGTTAGAATTATAGTGAAAGTTTATGAAAATAAGTAATTAGTCAACAACGTGTATCGTAACTATATAAACTGTGTTTTTAGACGATGGTAGCACATCTCGAAGACCTGCCTGAAATTAACCCAGAGTTCCTTACTGCTAACGTCATTCACAAATGATTTCTAGAACGTGCATGAAAGCAAGTTACTGTATGTCACAAAGGCGACTCAGTCCTATTCACCTATGAGCACCTCCCAGTCGGGCAAGACTGACAGTGCAGCGGGTCGGGATTTAGTGTAAACATTTTACACACACCAAAAGTTGAGCTGTTTTTTTCTTTTTTAAACACAGCAAATAGTCTTTCTCTTCTAGTCTCTGATTTCACAACACCTTAATTGAACTATTGTCATTTGGGGAAAACTTAGTGCTGATATTCTAATTTATATACCTTTTAAAAAAAATCTCATTAAAAATGTATCAATTGTGTATATTTATCAGAAAAAGTGGTCAAAGTTAATGTCCGTCATTATATTTTACCTCACTGTGAGGTCTTTTTTTCGCAAGGCCTTATCTCGGTAAACAGGCAGCCTACAAACAACCTCGGTGACCACAGCAATACGCCTTTCTTCATTTCTCTGCTTTTCCCCCTTTGCAGACCTTTTGAATGGCCAAATAACCTTTTCTTAAGAAGCAGCGTTCGTAAGCACTCTGAGACTGTTGCACAGTGTGTGTCTCCCCTTCCAATGCGCCTCCTGCACTGCAGCAAATAGTCACATCATCAGCAGCACATGACCTTTTGGTGAGTATAGCCGAGACCGAGTCGGACTGTGTCATCTGTCCCGAAGAGCAGGGGTGCTCCCTCTGGAGACGTCCACCTGTCAAGGACTCAAGGTTGTCTAGCGACTGGTTGTCAACTCATGAGTACACTGAGCATATTTGTGGGTTTTTTTTTTGTTTTTGTTTTTTGAGCTGGGGGCATGCGCATGTGAGCTTGTTGTCTCTTGGCAAATTGTCAGTTGCAGCAACCACTGAACAATGTAGTGGAAGAGGGTGTTTTCACAAGAATTTACTTGTTAGTCAATTCAAGTGTACTTTGACAGTGCTAAATAGCAACACAAGTTGTCCAAAAGTTCTTTATATATGAAGCAAATCTAGTACCACTCTATTCACACATTAAGAGACCAAGTGAACTCACCTGAATCCAGTAGAAAATCACATGAAAAAAAAAAGAATCGTGTGCATGGTATTGTCTGTAGGTAATCGATTTCCTCCTGAACAGTGGGCATAAAAAGTCTACACACCCCTGTTCAAATGCCAGATTTTTTTGGGATATTTAAAAAAAAAAAAAATGGGAGCAAGATAAATAATACAAAACTTTTTTCGGCCTTTAATGTGACTTATATCCTTTACAAGTGAATAAAAATCTAGCTTTTAGAGGGGAAGTAAAAATCTCACACACTTATAATTGGGATGAATCTATGTTCAGAATTAATGAATGCCATTTAAACTCGTGTCAAGTGGAAGTCAGAACACTGCGGCCCCATTTAAAATGCCTCTGTTTCACCTCAAATAAAGTTCTGATGTTCTAGTAGGCTTTTCCTTAAATGGTTTTGCTCTCCACCAGAAGCCTGGAGGATTTGTGCTTATGCTTACTCCTATTGAGAACGGTTCATAATTTCCTCGACCTTTCCTCGAAGCCCCCGAGTTCCAACGTAAGAAAAACTACCCCAAAGCATGAAGCTGCAATTGCCATGCTTCATTCGTCTGTATTGGAGGAACCAACCTTTCGGTATGTGTGTTGCTCGCCACAGAACAGACTATCGACTGTTGGAAAAGTACAGCTGCTTGTTTGCTTTTAAACTCGGCTTGTAGCGAATATGAGTGACATTATGCACGCTGTGATCGAGATATATGTAATTATGTGATCTGGTACTCTCTTCTTACTCGTCAACGGAGACTTCAATCATGCTCCTATCTCATTTACTGACAGATTCAAACAATAAGTGGAACAAAAGCGAATACAACTCTAATTAATGGATTCTTCTTCTTCTTCTAATTATTATTATTTTATGTTTTCTGCACGACGCTTTGTGACAGCTTTAGCTGTTGTGAAGGTTTGGTGTTCTTGTGTTCGCGCCAAACATATCTTTTGAAATGATGGCCAAACACGTTGATTTCTTTGGACCATAACATGCAAGAAAAGATTTGAAATGATTTATCTTGGCCTAAGATTTTATATCACAAAATAAATAAAGAAATTGCATTTGAAGAGGGGTGTGTCGACTTTTGTATCACCTGTCGATGGGTGTGGAGTTTTACAATTCAAACGCCACAAATTTGACCGGGAAAAATGCCTGACAATGAAGGGAAATTGTCTGAAGCTTGTCTGAAGTGTCACCTATTTTCGACAAGCGCAGCGGCGGCAGCAGCAGTCACTGCACCTCCTTCCATCTGTGATACCTACAGTCAAAGTGACGATTTGAATAATATGGATACATTATTCATTTTCCTGAGGCAAACGCTCAGAACCCCACCAACCTCCAGCCAGCTGGATGGCATGGCAGGCTTCCCAGCAATAAAAGCTCCTCACATTAAGAGATGTCATGCAGTTTAACTGGGCTAAAATACTCTCTGGTGGGTTGAGACCCAGTGAGTGGAGGGCTGGTGCAGGCAAAAAGATCATTGAACCATCATCTTCCTAATAATCACCGTGTATGACTTGATAATTACAAATAAAGTAATGCGTAAAAAGCATCCTAACAGAGTATTGGGTATGGTTGGGTTTTGTTCGCTTGACTCTCGCATGCTCAATCCTGATTTATATCAAGTGCTTTTCTAAGGCATAAGAAATCCCATAATGTGTGAATTTAAAAATCTTGGATGTGAAAGAAAACCACGCAATATGCAAATCACAGTGAGCACTGGTGTTTTTATCAATGAGATTAGAATCACACAAACCTTTTATTTTGAAATTGCTGATATGTTCCTCTCTACCTGCCTGTGGCAAGCCACAAACGCTGCGCCTGTGAACAATTGGATTCATTGAAGATTCAAGGAAGATTCCATGCTTGCCTGCTTTTACATTTGTATGCAAATTAGCAGATGGGATCTGGTTAGAAGTAAATAGTCTGTCAAGAAATTGATTACTTTAAGTCCTGTTTCCTTTAAAGTCAGCTCTAAAGTTGGCGGGCCTAAGGTCAACTTTTAAAACATGTCACTTAAACCCCAAGAGTGTAACGTCATCTGACCACAGCACCACAACTCTCTAAGTCTTGCATGCTTCCATTGCTGGAATACGTAGTCCATGTAGTCCCTCGTGCGTTGAGTTGAACAGGCTAGCTAGCCATGCAAAATTCATCCCAACAAATGTATTATTGATTGTCAAATAAACTTCCATTACTGGCGACATCATTTGGTACATCTGCATAATATAACGAGAAACAAAATCTGGAACAAAAATTCCTGATTTACCAAAGTAGTATTGCTCAGAGAGATATTTATGGAGTACTTTCTACCAGGGCTCAGCAACCTTTCCCAAACTGAGAATTGCTTCTTTGGTACCAATTACAAAAGACGATAACATTTTTAAAAGCGTTTTTAGTTTTTTGGTCATGAATTTCGCAAACGAATGCAGGCGGCCGATGGATCTGCGAGCGGGAAGGCGGTGCTGTTGTGGGAGTGGTCACAGCCAATTTCTATCATGACCAGTCAAAGTGTGCCGCTTTCTTCCCTTTAAATGCAGCGCGCAAGTCGTACACTTGAATCTCGACATGGCGGACGCGTATATGCGCTTTATAGTGGAAACTTGCAGACCACGCCCCACCCCCGATCGTTCATGTGCAACCCCATAGCTGTTTAGCCCAATAGTATGATTTTAAAAAAATATATAAAACAATGTTTTATCAGGTTAGATGTTGACTGTTGACATATTTATGAATGAATTACATCTCATTTGACATGCTATTCATCCTTTGCCGGCCACGTCGATGTAATCTGAGCAGGTGTAACATTTTGACAA